CATTCTTGATTACGAATTACATTGTTGTTTCTGTTTTCTATGTCTTTTTCCAGATTCTTGCTTTCAATCCTTGCCTTCAAACTCCGAGGTGCAATCGCCGAGAAGAGCTTTGATCAACTTTTCGGGAGATCAATGCTGAGCTCGAGGTCGAGAAGGCTACTGAGAAGTCTTTCCAACTGTCTTCAATATCCTGCCATTGATGCCGAGTAGTTTTGTTTCCTTCTTTAACTCCTTGTACCTTGTACCTTGTACTTTGTCCTTCTTTGTATGCTTTTAATCCGGCCGACGTGCCATTTTTGTAGTCTGAATAATTTATTTTTCAATATTCAGGCCGCAGTGCCTTCTTTCTTCTTTAAATGCATTTCTCTAATTTTCTCTTTGAATGAATGTCTTCTTTTTTCTGCTCTTGTTGATTCTACACTTAGAATAATTTGATGTCTTCAAAGTACACTTGACTGTGCAATCTCTTCGGGTAAAATACCTCTGTCACAACTTCTAATGTTGCTCATCTCAGCCTTGTTTCTAACACTTGAAAATATTGTAACAATATTTTTTACAAGTGTTGCTTAGGATTGTCACTTTCTCAATGTCTTCTATCAAGACTTAGTTTTATATTTCAAGTTTTGACAACCTGGTAGTTCCGGCAAGTACGTAGATATTGCTTGAACTTGACTTTAACTTGTAAATTTTTCTCAAAAATTTGAACAAGTGTTTTAAACCATCATTTCTTTATCTAACTCGGCTTAACTTTAGCTTGTAAATTTTTCTCAAAAATTTCAACAAGTGTTTTTAACCATGTTCTTCTGATACGACTCGGTTTAACTTCAACTTGTAAATTCACAACAGAATTTCAACAAGTGTTAAATATCACACTGGTTTAACTTCAACTTGTAAATTCACACAGAATTTCAACAAGTGTTAAATATCACATCGGTTTAACTTCAACTTGTAAATTCACACAGAATTTCAACAAGTGTTAAATATCACATCGGTTTAACTTCAATTGTAAATTCACACAGAATTTCAATAGTGTTAAATATCACATCGGTTTAACTTCAACTTGTAATTCACACAGAATTTCAACAAGTGTTAATATATCTCGTTTTAACTTCAACTTATAAATTCACACAGAATTTCAACAGTGTTAAATATCATCTCGGTTTTAACTTCAACTTGTAAATTGTCCACAAATTTCAACAAGTGTTAAACAATGATCTCGGTTTAACTTCAACTTGTAAATTGTCCACAAATTTCAACAAGTGTTAAACAGATATTTCGGTTTAACTTCAACTATAAATTGTCCACAAATTTCAACAAGTGTTAAACATCTTTGTCTTCTCTCTGCCCCCTACATGGCTTTCACATGCCTTTTCAACATGCTCTTTTGTGGACTTATAAAGGTCTTACTGGTAACGAAGTATGCCTTGTAAATGTTTTCTTTTATCTCTTGATCTGAGATCTGCTCAGTGAGCTTCTTCTTTTCTCCGGGCTTAAGTGGGGTCTTGTCTGGAATCTTGGATCTGCTCACTCAGGTTGAGCTCTTCTTTTCTCGGACCTACTCATCTAGGCCGAGATCATGCCTTCTAGGATCTGGGATCCAGGATCTGGAATCCGGGATCTGCTCACTTAGGCTGAGCTCTTGTCTTCTCGGACCTACTTGTTTAGGCCGAGATCTTGTCTTCTAGGATTCGGGATCCAGGATCTGGAATCCGGGATCTGCTCACTTGGGTTGAGCTCTTCTATACTTGAATGCTATCTCCTTGGGAGCACTCCTGCCCCCTGTCTTTGCGTCCCTTCTGGAAGGGTCTTCACTCCGTTTATGTCGACACATTCTCCATCTTTGTTAAACTCATCATTTTCGATACGTTGATCTTGTACAGTGATGGCCATCTATTCTCCTTTCTTTCCCACAGATGGCGTCAAATTATGTGAGTGATTTTCTGACCACACTGCCCGCTTAGTAACCAGCTGGAGAGCACCAACAGAATAGATGGCACCTGGCAGACCTGCAACAGAAAGAAAAGATTCCGGCAGTGGTTCGTCCACCCGGGGGCACTCCGACGATCAAGTCAGTATATCTCTCAAAGATAAATCAAGTGCTAAACTCACAAGCTTAAGTATCAAAAGCATACCTTAGACCTATGGGGGTGCCTTTCTTTTATAGCCAACATAAACCTAGTCCCAATAGAAGCCTAACTTCTATGGACTCAGGATTACTGCTAATCTTGGATTCCCAATAAGATTAGGATAAACTCTCTAAGAGTCTTATCTTAATACAAACTGAAGTCTTGTCTCATTCTAGGACTCTTGCCCCTCATCCGCTTATCTCGGATTCTGATATCTTCGGAGGTAACCTCAGCCTATCCGAGATAACCTCAGCATAACAACCAGGACACGTGGCACCTCGGCTGACACGTCGGCGTCACCTTGGCCACGTGTTGGTACTTAGAAAATATATCCCCACAAAATACAAACTGAAGTCTTCTCTCATTCTAGGACTCTTGCCCCTCATCCACTTATCTCGGATTCTGATATCTTCGGAGGTAACCTCGTCCTATCCGAGATAACCTCAGCATAACAACCAAGACACGTGGCACCTCGGCTGACACGTCAACGTCACCTTGGCCACGTGTTGGTACTTAGAAAATATATCCCCACAAGAACTTATCAAGTATATATAAGTTTATCTAGCATAATTTGAGCCAAGGTAAAAAATATATATATATGTATATATAAATTTTAAATTTTATTTATTCATATGTAAATTAATTTTGAATAACCATCTAAAAAAATTAATTTTAAATATAATTTTAACGAGTAAAACTAAAATTCTAACTCAAATTGTTTTGCAGCCCTATTTAAATTTAAAGGTCAAATAAAATGTCTTGTTGATGCTAGAAGACAAAATTGAAGTTCCTATGAGCAATGAGCCTCCACTTGTCATGTATCATCACCATCCAAGAGAAAGAGAGAACTAATTGGACTATTCCGAGAACCAGTAGATTGAGCTATCATTCAATTTTAAAAATGATGACTTCAACTTTGCCTCGAAATTAACCCTCCACCTCTGTAAGTGCGAGTCCGGATTCCCTCCTTGTATGTCCTCTTGATCTCCTTCTTGCAACGGCTGAGATCAGTTGTTGCACATCTAACGGCCATTAAAAAAAATGAAATTTCATTTTATTCCCGCCCATTGCTATAGTTATACATTCAAGCACAATCACTCTCACTTTCATTCAGCCTCACACTCACCTATTCTCCTCCATCGAACCCACCTTGACCGGCAACCAGTCCTGACGGCGACCCAGACGACGACCCACTCCAACCTTGATATTCTCTGCTTCGTGAACCATAGCTCCACCGCGACCACCACCATCGGCTGGGCGAAGAAATTTCTTGATGAGGACGTGGGTTCTGAGGCCATAAAGGAATTGGGTTTGTCTTCAAAACTCTGGAATTAAGAAGTTAGGGTTGTGTGATTGAGATTGAGAAAATATATTTGAAATTTCAAAATTAGGGCTTTGATTTCGGATTCAAATAGGGATGAATCAGTATCCATAAACCTATTTAATTAGTTTGACAAATTGATTAATTTTCTACATGTTTTTGTAAAGAATTTTTGTAAAGTTCTTGAATAGGCTTTGAGGAAATAAAATAATTTTGTGCCTTTTTTTTTTGTTTGTTTTTATTCTGGAAACAGTGAACATACTTTCTTCCCCTCTCTGGTTGGTTGATAAGAAATTTGAGAAAGGAGAGAAAATCAGAAATATATTAAATCTAATGTTTTAGTTGTTTTGATTTACAAGAAGTCATAAAAAAAATAAGTTGTGGTAATTTGGGTTTTTGAAGTCTGAATCCTGTGTACTAAGGATGTTTTAAGTTATGCTAGTATGATCAATGATACGGTTTTCCTTATTCAAGCAATGTTGGTGTTTTACTGAAGAATCTCAAGAACTACCATGTTTGTTCAATTTGAAATTGCTATGTGTGTAACATGTGTGTAATTAATCACAAATGCTATGTTTGAAACTGAAGAAAATGATTGACATTGAACTGCCATGTTTGTTCAAATGCTATTAACAGTTTAGTCTTGGTTTTGTAGTACAAATGCTATGTTTGTTCAGTTTGGCTCAAACATGGAAGTTTGAACAAATAGATGTTTTCAGTGAAGATGTACACTCTGTCCCTCAAATTCAAATAGCCTTTATACTCTGTCTCTCTCCTCTCTAGAACTGCCATTACTTCTGTTATGGGCATAACTCTATAGAACTACTATTAACCTCATCAAACACAAGCATAGCACAGCAATACAAATTTCTCATGAACTGCCATGTTTGTTCAAATGCTATTAACAGTTTAGTCTGTGTAACCTCTGTTAAAATCCTATTAACCTCTGTTTAGTTTGTGTAACCTCTGTTCAAATACTATGTTTTGTTTCAAAAACTATTTACTTTTTTTCTTTTTTTCTTTTCTAGATATCTCTTCATTTGCTTGGTTTTGGGATTAATTCCAGCAATACATTCTCTCTTGGTTTTGTAGTACAAATGCTACGTTTGTTCAGTTTGGCTCAAACATGCAGTTTGAACAAATAGATGTTTTCAGTGAAGATGTACACTTTGTCCCTCAAATTCAAATAGCTTTCATACTCTATCCCTCTCCTCTATAGAATTGCCATTACTTTTGTTATGGGCATAACCTTATAGAACTGCTATTAACCTTATCAAACACAAGCATAGCACAACATTACAAATTTCTCATGTATGCAGATTTAAAAAATGGCTTCTTCTTCTAACAATAGCAACATAAGATTACAACCGAGGCTGTGCAATTGTGGAAGAACCGCTGCCATATATATTGTAAGAACTAATAAGAATGGAAATCAATGGCGTTTGTTCTTTGTTTGCCCATCAAAATATGTAAGTATGTATTGAAAAATTTTATCCTTTAGTAGTCGCATTAATATTTGTCTTATTCAACTAACTGATTATCATGCATTGTAGAGTAACACTCTCACTCCCCATTGCAATTACTTTAAGTTCGTGAATGAAGATGATGAAGACGTTACGTCCAGAATCCATTCCAACACTAGAGCTTGTGATGCTATAACAGTAGAAGACTTTAACGATGTAAGGACGAGGCTTGATGACATGGAAAATGACTATGGTCGAAGGCTTGAAAGGATGAAAAATAATATCAAAGCGATGGTGTATTTCATTGTATTTTCTATCATTTTGTACTTTATGATGTAACTTTTGTACTTTATTGTATTTTGGGAAATTGAATGGAAGTTTCTACCATTTTGGGTTTTATTGTACTTCATGATGTAACTTATGTTTTTGGAATGAGTTAAAATGTTGAACTTAGAACTGTCATTTCTTCATTATGGAATGAATTTTGGGAAACATTGGTCTCATTATTAGAGTTTACTCCCATTCTTAAATTCAGCTGTAGTCAATAGCTACCACTTGCTTGTTTGGAGCATAATAAGGACCATGATCACTTATTTTTTGATTGCTTTTTCTGTCAAACAATTTGGCAGTGGCCTTAACTTGTTATCTGTTAGCAAGTTTTTTTTATTGCCATCACTTATCAGACATAGTCTATTATCTAGTAGCAAGTTTAAAGCAGATCATTCTAATGGTTGGCATATACAGGAGTGGTCTCTGCCTCACTATATTATCCAATCATCTGCTTAACATTGCTTGAGGTGGCTTGGTACTGTTTCAACTTAAGTCATCTACATCTATGGATGCTACTTGTTGCAGGTTTGGCACATTTTGGTTTGACACCAAAGAACCTCATACATTTTGGTTTCACACCTCAGAAACATTTTGGTTTCACACCAAAGAACCTCATACATGTGATGGTTCTATGAGTATAGCACCAGTATGTTCCTTTAAACCCAACCCCAGGCATCTAAACAAAATTGAATCAACTGAAATGGAAAAAAGAAAAAGAAAAAAAAAATATCATCAACTGAAATTCACTAATTTTCACTAATATTAGTAATTGAACAGTATGACAGAAAGGCACCACTTGTGAAAATTCAATAAGTTGATCATCTTATGTAATTGAACTAATCCAAGTTAGTGCCTTTCACAAGTTGCTGAAATTCACTAATCCACTTGTGTAATTAAACAGCATGACACCTGTAGGTCTTCAAAAATTAAGACACCAATTTGGCATAATTTTTCTAACAAATGAAAAAGCTGTGTCCCTGTTCTTTCACATAAAAGAAAATCTAAAAATTTCAACACATACATTGGTCCATTTATCCCTTTTGAAACAATCAGTTAGAAGAAAATGAAGTATAACATCAAGTGTAACATTGACACTAACAAACCATACAAAGGATAACATCAAGTGTAAATACAAGCCATTAACATTAACAAAATGTGGAACTACAAGCCATTAACATTAGCATCAAGTGACGTTTGCTTCACAGTTTGCAGCAGCAGCAGTTTGCTTCACAGTCATAGCAGTAACATCACTTTCTAACAGCAGTTTGCTTCACAGTTTCAGCTACTATGACTTCAATTTGCAGTTTGTTCCACCTCTTTCTGGTTGTCAATAGCCTAAAACAGAAAAAGACATAATTTTCTACAATTTTTAGCAACTAAATACATACTTTAAACAGAATTTTCAACAAGTAAATACATGTTCTAACAGAATTTTCAGCAACTAAAATCAAAAAGACAGCAAGTACAAACCTGACTACACATTGGACTATTTGATTCTTGAGAATATCGAAACCCAATGTCGTATCCACATGAACCTTGAAGTAGTGACTGGAATGTTGGTTGAGCAGAATACCGTTGAGGCATTGAGATTTGGCAAAGAATTTGGCACTACATATGTCACGATCCAAACCCGCCCTTATAGGTTTAGCATCGTAACTGGCCAGTAATCCTTGGATTACCAAAGGCCTCTAAACAAATTAACAAGATTAAGGGGCTAGCGGAAGCAAATACATAAATATAGTTGTCCAATGAGCTGTGCTGACTTATATGAAACAGAATATTTAAAACTTTATTTACATAATCAAAAGTCATTCATACATTATACCTACACACATTATAGTATCTTAAGTCCAGCCAATAGAATTAAAATAAGTCATATATATACATTAAGTCCAGCCAACAGAATTAAAACAAGTCATACATATACATAGAACCAACATAACTTAAACACATGACGCTTTGGGAACCTCCACGTGAGGCACAATGATTGGCTGACAATGGAACACAGATCTAGACAAAAAGCCTTCAGGCTCGGGCTCCAAAATGCTTACCTATACATATATATACACACAATGAGCTAAAGCCCAATGAATAACATTAAGGTAAAGGGGTTAGTGAATAAAATCCGAATATATCATAAGCAGAAAACAGCCCAGAGCATAATCATTCTCATATCAAAACATAATAATAGTACATCCCATAGAACATATCACAGAACGTCTTCCGACTAGAGTAATCGGTTCTGGATACCGATTAAACACATATCACCACAATGAAGTGGCTAACGAGATCTCGTAATTACTTGTATGTCATGGACCCACATTTTCATGCCGTCCCCCATGACTTGGGACTATCTATGGATGCCATAATAGATTTCAAACTTGGGATGTTTGTTCACGTAAACAGATATCATTTCAGAAATCATAGCTTATCACATTTCATTTGGAACATAATTCATATCAACATATATTCACAGAAATGTTACTCACAGCGGTTCTAGTAAGCGGTCAATCAATCTCCAGACGTTGACCTACAGACACAAAAGCACATAACACAAACATGTCTTAATATTATACATTCATGTGGCCAACACGACTTAGCTTTCATTACGTTGGTTCTTGTTCTTTCTTATCACATTGTCTAACACACACACACACTCTTGCAATCTCGGAGCTTTGTACATTCTTTTCTTAGTGTGTTTCTAATCCATAACCTCATTACTATGGCATAATTAAGGCTTAGGAATGCTTAAGATGCAATGAGGATGCCAAAACATGCCTTGGAACACTTAGGCAAAATTTTTGAAAATAAGGTCCACGCTCGAGCATAGCTTTCCTCGCTTGAGCGGACATGTAAAATGTAAATGGTCGTTCGAGCGCACATTCCTTCGCTCGAGTGATCTGTAAAAGACATGAAACTTCTAGGAGCTTGCAATTCACGCTCGAGCGGAGTGCACGCACCCAGAGTGGTCGCACAAGCATGAACTCCCACGCTCGAGCATAGATGCAAATTCTAGAATTTCCAGATTGCACCTTCACGCTCAAAACTCGAATTCCAACCTTCAAAACACCTCTCTTGGGCCCCAAAACTTGAGATAACATAGTAAACTTGTAAAACATGATGAATTAAGAATTATTTCATAAAATCATGGCCCAAGAGTTTGTTAAAAACTCACAATTTCAACTTAAAACATGATGAATGTTCATAAACACAACATGCATGAATTTTTCTTGTATCAGACTTCTCAAAACATGATCCAACACCACAAAACAACTTGAAACTTGATGATTTCCCTAAATGAAGATGAATTTCAAACATGCAAGAGAGAATTCTTGGAGTTCATGCTCAATTTGTGAGAAAATGTACATGCATGCATGATTTACTACTCAATTCAACATTTAAACCCATTCTTGACTTTAAACTCTAAATTACCACGAACCATGCAAGAACCAACTTGAATTCATAAACTAAAGGATAAATATCCTACCTTGGGTCCTCAATTTCAAGTCTAGAAGCTCAATTATGCAATCCTCTCTTTAATTCTTCCAAGTTCAAGCAAGAATTCCTAGTTGAAACCAATTTTCTCCTAACACTCTCTCTCTTTCTCTCTCTCTCTCTAGTCAATTTTGTCTCTAGGAAGATGATTGAAGAGTGATGCCAAGCATAGATAAATCAAGACTAATAGATGGCCTAGCATTGTCCACTAATGGCAATTTGGTAAATAACTCAAATTGATGTAATACAACTTTTTAATCTAATTTAATCATACCAAATCAAATTTCAATTGAACATACCATAAAATCACATAAATTCTAATTAGCATAAAACATTAATCGATTTCAGATTCGGCCGCCGATAAGGTTTTCAATTTACATATTAAAGTGGAATTCCAAACAGATATTTCTATAAGTAACAGATAGAAAGCCAAAATCATGGAAAACACAAAATAAACACATGAGTTATTTTACTTCTCTCATTAGCATCGTTAAATACGGATTAGTAGCTCATTACGGATCGGGGTTACGGATCGGGGTTGTTACAGTCTCCCCACCTTAAAAATTTGGTCCTCCAAACTCAAGTTATCTTATATCAAAAGAAATGATGTTCATCAAAACATAACTGCAATTCTTTACAAAACAGAAGCATAACCATATTCATAAATATGCTCATAACCCAATCTCGACCTTAGCTTCGCACCGAAACAGAATCACAAATCATATACAGAGATTAGGGTTCGTATCAAAGCAGAGTCTTATACGCATTCAGATTTTTAATCAGAAACAGATTCATATACATGTTCATATTCACATTCTTGTCCAGATCATACACAGACAGAAATACATCCCTTAGCACTAACAGAACAGAACAGAACGTATACACGTGAGGTTACGAATAACCAGTTGCATAAAGGAACCTCTGAATTCGGGCAACAGAATAGAAGCTGAGCCCACGTGACAGGGCCTCCGGTACGGGTAACAGCTAACAGATATCACATAATACCAAGAGTCACACAAATACATATCAGAGATTGGACAATTACTCATTGCACAACACATAATATTTCAAAAAACAAAACTTATTTTGTCACACAGAAATAAATACAGTTGAACATAACTTTACTACGTTATTATTCACATTATTTATATCAAGTACTTATGGGACGTCATAGATTCACACTGTTTCCCGTTATTAAGTCACAGAGACTTGATTTACTTACTCCCGAGTCATCCATCCGGTCCTTGTTCGATTTGGTTTTCAATCCGGTAATCTTATCACAGTCAATCCAGGTCATTCTGAAGTTATCATTCATATACTATTCATCAGCCTCAGTTTTCACGGATTCAATCATACAATGTGTCAATACAGAAGCATTCATACTGATTGTGTATCCTTCCAGGTAGTCAGAGTTTATAATCAACCAGTCTGTTGCCACAAATCCCATCAGTTTTGAAGCACAGTAACACCAAAGCAATCATTCTCTAGTCGACTAAGTTCATGGTCAAAACAGTAATACCGGGTAATCAATCACATGTCATATATACAATATTTCCATTTCTCCAAGCATAAGTTACCAAATTCCATAATCTCATTCACGTGTTTTTCCCATTCGGTTACAGGCATCTGGTAAGAAGCTATTCGTAATCACATAGTCTACTGTTGACGGTTCACATTCTTTCTAAGGGTTCAAGATTGATTCTAGTTCGCATTCGGTTAGTTCCCTTAGCAACACAGCCCTGTCATTCAATCATAAGCAATTCACAATCCCCCATAATGTAATCAATCAGATAATAGCTCTTAATAAGGGTCTCCTCAGATCAAATCAATGAACGTTCAACCAGGTCATATCAACTGAAAGTTCTACCCAGTCCTTTTAAATAAAAGTTCAAAGTGTGAGTCATCAAACAGACATTCCATCAGTTAAGCAAGGGTCTCATCAAACCATGATTCTATCAGGTTAGATCAGGTAAAAGTTCTATCCTTATCATCTCCAATCGAGGTACCTTAGTTCTAAGTTCATAAATTCTCAAAGTCACATCAGAGTCATGTATCATAGTACTTCACGTCCAAGTGTTTTAGGTCATATACAATGTGTTTCCTCCCAATAATTTTACAGGTAAATGCACAGGCATGCAGTTATTCACATCGAGAGGTAAGCATTACAGTCAATATAGCAATTTCCCAAATAAGTTTTTTTCATGTAAGCATAAGGTACGCAATAGCAGATTGTTATACAGAAGTTTCAAATTGGTCATACGGTCATTAGAGCATGGGCTCACTGGTCTAGTCAAACAATCTTGTCAATGTTCAACAATCACAGTCCACAGTTTAGAGGTTATCACATGGGGTCTTTACTTAGTCATACAGTCCCCGAGTCGTAGTCCCAATGGTCAAGTTATCAAAACAAATAGCATATCGATCATTCTAAGCAAAGATACAATCATATAGGTGCATGTTCAGAATCTAATAACATTCCCAATACGGATTCACGAGTTCAATGTACAGATGAACACAAAACAGTTTCTCCAAATACGATAGTTAAGGCAACAAGTCATAAGTCCACTCAATCTAGATACAAAGAGCGTGTCAAGTTTGAATCAATCAACATCCCAAGCAAAAGTATAAACATATATAAGTCCAAACATTTTCCATAGCTTAGGCAGTTGTTACACAAAAGAGTCTAAAACGTCACACATATAGTTACATCAGGCGGTAGGTCTCAAAGTGTACAAGCAAGGTCATATGTATACGGATACGAGTCTAGAATCAATTATCGTTTAGGCATTCATTCACAATTCATAAGCAAAAGTTCGTTTTTCCAAACTGACATAGGTTC